CTGGGTCTACATTTATCAATAGTTCCCTTTCCTATTTAGTAAAGGAAATTTTTCTCTCCAATCTGTTGCAGAACTGCCTGGTTTCTCAAGAACTAGGGTACAAACATTCATGAAAGGCCCCAACTCTACAAGGGGGTTCCTCAGTGATTGGATACACAATGCAACTCCCTACTTTGTGTTATACTGAAAATAGCCATTTGTTTCTTTGAAACCCTGTCTTGTTGTAAAGTTTCTTTTTTTACCTTCAAGTGGTTTTAGCTGTGGGTTGTTGCCTCTGATAGTTTCACATGCAAAGTCTTAGTATTGTTCAAGGCTAAACAATTGAGCCTTACATTGCATCACCAGTGGGGGCAACTCCCCTTGCCCAAATGGGCCTACACAGACACACATTATCTCCTGGTGACTAATTTCTACTCCAAGTCCATAAAGCATGCTTTCAATATCAGTACATAGATATTAGCTGGTTTCAGAGTAACAGCCGTGTTAGTCTGTCTTCGCAAAAAGAAAAGGAGTACTTGTGGCACCTTAGAGACTAACCAATTTATTTGAGCATGAGCTTTCGTGAGCTACAGCTCACTTCATCGGATGCATACCGTGGAAACTGCAGAAGACGTTCTGGTTAAACTTGGATTTAAACTATTACCCATACATACATTTCACAATGATTGTGAAGGCTGACAAGTTACAAGCTTTTGTAAATACTTTACACATTGCTGGCAAAAGCATCTCTGACCCTCCAACCCCCAAATCTTCTTCTGGGGTGTCTTGTGCCCCTCATGTACTAAATATTGCTTGCCAGTCCCAAAAGCACCACCATAACTACAGTGTTCTGTGGGCAGCCTTCTTCCACTCATCAGCGAGAACAGATGCCCAACCAACCCAGGGCGGGTAATAACAAAGACATGTTTATTAAGGCACATACTCGCAGTGGGGGGGGGGGAGACAGCCAGACTGGCTCAGGGCTACCCAGAAGGAACTCCATGTATCTCAGACCCAGAGGAAGGGATGCAGAAAGGTCACATAGAGGTCAGGAACCCCAAACAAGATACACAAATAGATGGTCACTAGTCCTACTCTTTGACCCAGGCTATCATGCCTCCAAATCCCTCCTGTAAGCATGCTTCTGCCAGGAGGCCTATGAGTTTTAATCCTTCTCTCAGAGCCATGTTCATAAAATAAAATCTAAAAACCAGGACATGTAGAGTTCTGAGCTACAGAACTCATCACTAACCTGCTCCCTAGCTTCTAGTTACATCCCAGCCTCTCTCTTTAGTCTGTATGTTGTATGGCAGGATTGCAATCACTTTTGGGCATATGAACCTTGTTCATTTATTTGTCTGGAAAGTGCCTAGCACACTTTTGGCACTCGATACAGAACATAATAATATTCACAAAAACAACAATCTAGTCTCACTGATTCCTTCGTTGTGCTCATGACATAGGGCCCATCTGTGCATTTATCTTTCTTAGCTCCCAGGAAAACCCAAAAGAGTGAGAATAGAACCTGGAGCGATAGTTGGTGATGTTGAACACACAATATAATTGCCATAATAGAACATAAGAACAGCCATACTGGGTCAGACCAAAGGTCCATCAAGCCCAATATCCTGTCCTCTGACAGTGGCCAATGGCAGGTGCCCCAAAGGGAATGAACAGATAGGTTATCATCAAATGATCCATGCCCTATCACCCAATCCCAGCTTCTGGCAAACAGAGGCTAGGGACACCATTCCTGCCCATCCTGGCTAATAGCCATTGCTGGACCTATCTTCCATGAATCTATCTAGCTCCCTTTTGAACCTTGTTATAGTATTGGCCTTCACAACACCCTCTGGCAAGGAGTTCCAGAGGTTGACAGTGCGCTGCATGAAAAAATATTTTCTTGTGTTTGTTTTAAACCTGCTACCTATTAATTTCATTTGGTGGCCCCTTGTTCTTGAATTATGAGAAGGAGTGAATAACACTTCCTTATTTACTTTCTCTATACCACTCATGATTTTATAGACCTCTATCATATCCCCCCTTAATCGCCTCTTTTCCAAGCTGAAAAGTCCCAGTCTTATTAATCTCTCTTCGTACGGAAGCCGTTCTATACTCTAATCCTTTTTGTTGCCCTTTTCTGAACCTTTTTCAATTCCAATATATCTGTTTTGAGATGGGGTGACCACATCTGCATGCAGTATTCAAGGTGTGGGTATACCATGGATTTATATAGAGGCAATCTAGTATTTTCTGTCTTATTATCTATCCCTTTCTTGATGATTCCCAACATTCTCTTGGCTTTTTTGACTGCCGCTGCACACTGAGTGGATGATTTCAGAGAACTATCCACAATGACTCCAAGATCTCTTTCTTGAGTGGTAACAGCTAATTTAGACCCCCATCATTGTATATGTATAGTTGGGATTATGTTTTCCATTGTGCATTCATAGAATCATAGAATATAAGGGTTGGAAGGGACCCCAGAAGGTCATCTAGTCCAACCCCCTGCTCGAAGCAGGACCAATTCCCAGTTAAATCATCCCAGCCAGGGCTTTGTCAAGCCTGACCTTAAAAACCTCTAAGGAAGGAGATTCTACCACCTCCCTAGGTAACGCATTCCAGTGTTTCACCACCCTCTTAGTGAAAAAGTTTTTCCTAATATCCAATCTAAACCTCCCCCACTGCAGCTTGAGACCATTACTCCTCGTTCTGTCATCTGCTACCATTGAGAACAGTCTAGAGCCATCCTCTTTGGAACACCCTTTCAGGTAGTTGAAAGCAGCTATCAAATCCCCCCTCATTCTTCTCTTCTGCAGGCTAAACAATCCCAGTTCCCTCAGCCTCTCCTCATAACTCATGTGTTCCAGACCCCTAATCATTTTTGTTGCCCTTCGCTGGACTCTCTCCAATTTATCCACATTCTTCTTGAAGTGTGGGGCCCAAAACTGGACACAGTACTCCAGATGAGGCCTCACCAATGTCGAATAGAGGGGAACGATCACGTCCCTCGATCTGCTCGCTATGCCCCTACTTATACATCCCAAAATGCCATTGGCCTTCTTGGCAACAAGGGCACACTGCTGACTCATATCCAGCTTCTCGTCCACTGTCACCCCTAGGTCCTTTTCCGCAGAACTGCTGCCTAGCCATTCGGTCCCTAGTCTGTAGCTGTGCATTGGGTTCTTCCGTCCTAAGTGCAGGACCCTGCACTTATCCTTATTGAACCTCATCAGATTTCTTTTGGCCCAATCCTCCAATTTGTCTAGGTCCTTCTGTATCCTATCCCTCCCCTCCAGCGTATCTACCACTCCTCCCAGTTTAGTATCATCCGCAAATTTGCTGAGAATGCAATCCACACCATCCTCCAGATCATTTATGAAGATATTGAACAAAACCGGCCCCAGGACCGACCCTTGGGGCACTCCACTTGATACCGGCTGCCAACTAGACATGGAGCCATTGATAACTACCCGTTGAGCCCGACAATCTAGCCAGCTTTCTACCCACCTTATAGTGCATTCTTCCAGCCCATACTTCCTTAACTTGCTGACAAGAATACTGTGGGAGACCGTGTCAAAAGCTTTGCTAAAGTCAAGAAACAATACATCCACTGCTTTCCCTTCATCCACAGAACCAGTAATCTCATCATAAAAGGCGATTAGATTAGTCAGGCATGACCTTCCCTTGGTGAATCCATGCTGGCTGTTCCTGATCACTTTCCTCTCATGCAAGTGCTTCAGGATTGATTCTTTGAGGACCTGCTCCATGATTTTTCCAGGGACTGAGGTGAGGCTGACTGGCCTGTCGTTCCCAGGATCCTCCTTCTTCCCTTTTTTAAAGATTGGCACTACATTAGCCTTTTTCCAGTCATCCGGGACTTCCCCCGTTCGCCACGAGTTTTCAAAGATAATGGCCAATGGCTCTGCAATCACAGCCGCCAATTCCTTCAGCACTCTTGGATGCAACGCGTCCGGCCCCATGGACTTGTGCAGTTCCAGCTTTTCTAAATAGTCCCTAACCACCTCTTTCTCCACAGAGGGCTGGCCATCTCTTCCCCATTTTGCGATGCCCAGCGCAGCAGTCTGGGAGCTGACCTTGTTAGTGAAAACAGAGGCAAAAAAAGCATTGAGTACATTAGCTTTTTCCACATCCTCTGTCACTAGGTTGCCTCCCTCATTCAGTAAGGGGCCCACACTTTCCTTGGCTTTCTTCTTGTTGCCAACATACCTGAAGAAACCCTTCTTGTTACTCTTGACATCTCTGGCTAGCTGCAGCTCTAGGTGCGATTTGGCCCTCCTGATATCATTCCTACATGCCCGAGCAATATTTTTATACTCTTCCCTGGTCATATGTCCAACCTTCCACTTCTTGTAAGCCTCTTTTTTATGTTTAAGATCCGCTAGGATTTCACCATTAAGCCAAGCTGGTCGCCTGCCATATTTACTATTCTTTCGACTCATCGGGATGGTTTGTCCTGCATTGCTTTGCATTTATCAACATTAAATTTCATCTGCCATTTTGTTGCCCAGTCACCCAGTTTTGTGAGATCCTTTTGTAGCTCTTCGCAGTCTGCCTGGGACTTAACTATCTTGAGTAGTTTTGTATCATCTGAAAATTTTGCCACCTCACTGTTTACCCCTTTTTCCAGATCATTTATGAACATGTTAAATAGGCTGGGCCTGACTATACAGATCTAACGATCTATGTAGTGATGTAGTTCAGGTAGTTTCTTCCAAGGTGCAGACAGTGACTGGCTCCTGTTTTGAAGCGTGAAAGGCGTTGTGGTTGGGGTTGTTGTTATCATCCCATCTTGTGTAACTTGGGATATTGTATTATCCATGTCAGTGACTAATTGTTTCTTGGACCCTCGATGTCTTTGGCTAATGACAGTGTGTGGCAGCAGCGAGTTCCGCATGCTAATTATTCATGGAGTAAAATAGTTTTAAAGGCGTTGCCTTTCATTTCCCCTGTCTGTTGGAAGGCTGAAGAGCAGTGCGAGCGTGTGTTGCAGCGTGACACCGTGTGCGGATACCCCAGGTTATCTGGAGTAGCCATTGGGCTCCTTTGTGCAGCAGGCTCACGCTGCATCCGGCAACGCTCAACCTGCCCCTTTAAGTCTCCGCTTTGTTTGTGTTTTGCGGTGTGGCGACTAAAGAACCCCAGCCACTTCCCCATCGCCATGGTAACCCGATGCCATGGGGACAGACTGCCCCGCCGCTGGGCCTCCCAGCAACGCCGCACGCAGCCTCCCCGGAAAAAGTGCAGGAAGGAGGAAGGGACAAAGGAAACCGCAGACACGAGGAGTCAAAAAAGTGTCCCCGAGGGAGAGGTGCCCAGGCCAGGGATGCAAAGAGCCAGCCCAGCCCGGAGGAAGCAGCGAAGGGAGCTGCAGGTAGGAAGCCAGGCTCAGGGACAGGAGCTAGGAGCAGGGGCCGAGGGGGGACTCCACAGACTTGGGTGGAAGTTGAGTGAAAGTGCTGCAGAGGAGCAGGGTGGTGCTGGGGAAGGGGCAGGGAGAGAAATGCCTGCGTGTGAATGGTACAAAGGGCCTATGGAGGGCCGGGGCGGAAGGGCTGGAGCTTGCAAAAGCAGAGGGAAATGCCCCCGGGGAAGTGAGAGAGAAAGAACTTTTTGCACTGACTTTTTAGCACAGCGGGCTGTGAACCTGTCCCATCTCAGGAGCTCAGCAGAGCCAGGAAAAGCCTGAGCACAGCAGCTGGTAGCGCTGGGGACTCAGTGAGTGCCCCTGTTGTGTCTGACCCAGCAATGAATCCAGGGTCCAGAGCCGAGTGAGGGTGGCACTTGTGTTGCTGAACAGGCTGTCTTCAGAATGTGAGATAAAACTGACACACTTGTGAAAATACCAGGGCACTTTTCACCGGTTTATGTTAGAACGTGTCATAGCAGGACAGCCGTGCTGACCTCCCTGGAACCTCAGGGAGACCCTCACTTCTCGGATCAGACCCGGCTTTGCTAACATCAAAACGAAGGGATTTCCACATTTTCCACACATGGACTCGTGCTCTTAAATCCTCTGGTGTAGCATAACTGTTATTATGTGCTGTGTGCTGAATACTGAGCACTGTAAAGAACCAGTAGGCATTGGCTTTGCTCTCCAAAGGCTTACAGTCAGTTATACTCTACTCTACTCTAGTGGCAGTGGTCCGCCAGTGAAGCTTATATATCCAAGGTATAAATGATTGCTGTGATTTAGTTATGGATAATGCTGAGACTGTCTAATCTGATTTATCTGCCAGTCTAATCAGTCTGGCTCTTGGTCTGGGCATTTGTAATGAGCGCATCACCTTGTGGTCTGAATGCTGTCAGTCCAGCTACCACAGTGATGAGTGCAGGATAAATGCCAGTAAGGTAGAGAGGCTGACCTCTATGGTATGTCTACATGAGCTGGAAGATATCATTCCCAGCTTGATTAGACATATACATGCTAGTTCTGAGTGAGCCAGAGTGCTAAAAATGGAAGTGTAGCCTTGGTGGTGCGAGTGGTAGGAAACGCTAGTTACCTGAGTACCTACCTAGGGTTTCATATGGGATCATACTCAGATGGCTACACTTCTACTGTTAGCATGCTAGCTCTATTAGAGCTAGTGTGGGTCTGTCTTCTTGAGCTGGAAATTATACCTCCAGCTCCAAGGTAGACATCTATAGAAACAGCCTTTGAACTGATTGTATTCACCTACTCTTCCCTTGCAATGCAAGAGTGTGTCCTACCGGTGCTGTGTATTATGATTATTATTATCCATTTGTGGAAGCAATGGTGGGAAAGCTAATGGCAAGAAATGGCTCTTATTTTCTGATCTGAAGGTCCATGTCTTTCCCAGTATCCTGTGGAGATACCCTCCCTGCACTTATGGTTTTCACCCTTGGTACCATCCACTCTACGGTCCTGGAGTACTGTAAAAGCTATACGGTAACAGAGAGAGGCAAATTCTAACATAGTGGAGTCCAGTCCAATTTAAGGCCTTGAAGAGCCAGGTGAATTGTAGGGGGAGTTGTAGACTAGTGGACTGTTATATTAATTTTGATGGGAAACTTGGGCCCAGGGAGTCCAATGTGTTAACATCACCTTGTCATTGTACAACACCAAGCAGTCTGGGTTTTGAGTGCCTGCTTAGTCCCATGGCAAACATGCCATTCTTTGGTTTTAAGCCTTTTATTAGCAATACAAAGAAGAAGAAAACTGTTAAAGCCTTTGAAATGTAAAGTATTAAGTAAGGCTTTCATTTTAACAATATCGTTTGTTCCCTTTCCCTTTAGCTGTTTTAAAGCAGTTTTAAAGCAGAAAGTGCCTGTTTGACAGTCTCTTGGATGGCATTAAAGATAGAAGTACTGTTCGGGGGGGGGGGGGAATAAATTAGTTGAGATGGGCTGCAGTTTTTGTTGTTGCTAAAGCCTGATCCTGCTTCCTAGAAGACAAAAAGAGAGAAACAGGCAAAGAAAAGGCCAGAAAAGAGAGAAAATGCAGTTTCTGTCTCTGGTGCTGACTCTTACTTGAAATCTCCCTGGTGGAGAAACACAGGCCCAGCACATAGTCTGATCAGCCACTCTGAGACCTGGAAAACTTATCGGCCTGTTCAAGGCATCGCTTTTAGTTTCCTCCCTGGTCAGAAGCTCACAGCAGTGCTGCAAAATTGAGTCATTTATTAAACAGAAGGCAAAAAGAGACATGTAGGAAAGAGAATAAATAAGGTGGGGGAAGGAAAAAGTCATGGTGGGGGGTGACAGCAGGAGCCAAATCTCACATTCCAGGTGGTTTTGGGGAGTTAGCTAGAGCTGCTGCAGCTGGCAGTGTCCGTTGTGTCCCTTTCTCTGGCTCAGTTTGCCCAGGACATCTTTCAGGAGCAAGATGATGAAGGCCCAGTGAAGTCATGGTGGATCCCAGGGTCCCAGGGAATGGTGGAGGTGACAGCCACATGGTTAAAGCTTGCTCCTTCCAGTTCACTGTCTCCCAGGCAGCCAGCCAATTTTCCTCCAAAGTCTTTATTTTTAAGGATGCCAAAAGGTACAGACAGGCAGACCAGCCCATCTCCTCATTTTACTCACCAGTTAGACCTAATTTCCAACACACCAGTTTTGGTCCATTGATTTCCAGTCCCACACTTCTTTTGTTTACCAGAAAACTGAACACAGCTCCTGAGTTATATTACTAGACCTTTTAGTTTGGATTAATTCCTTCTGTTTCCTCTTTGAACCTTTTCCCATCAACGTTTATTGTTATAGGTGTGTCCTTGTATCCACTTTCTCACCATTGAGCTCACCATTGGGGTAGGCCTGCATCACAGATTCACAGGAATGGTGCTACATCCCCAACCTGGAACAGTCTCTTAGAGGAAACCCACTGATGTGCCAGACCCACAAGGGGTCTCACTCTTCCTTGTGGGCCACACAGCCTCTCCGCCTCCTGAGAGTGAACCTCTGGGGTTTCAGCACTCTTATCTCACACTGTGAGCTCTGCTCAGTGAGTCCAGCTGAGCTGGACTCTGGGGAGAGACTTGTCCACTCTTTGGGTATTGATACACCTCACCAAGTACATCCAGTGACACTCAAGCAGCGTTTTCAAAACAGTCAAGTTTATTAGTCAACTGGAATACAGCATTGGAAGTCATTAGGTTAGCACAGAGAAATGAAGGTCCCTTGTGGTCATTCCAGAGAGATTCACCAGCCAGACTGTGGTTAACTCCATTTTCAGGTTCTCTTTCTCTCTGTCTGACTTCCTTCCTTAGTCAGTCCCTAGGTGAGAGAGCCCCAAGCTTCTTACTCAGTTCCTGTGGAGAGAGTTTCCCAGCCTCTAGAAGCCAACTCTTATTCCTGGTCCAGTCCTCTGTTCTCCAGGCAGGGCCATGCTGAGCTCACAACCCCCTTGTTAGAACATCCTGCTGTGGAGTGTTGATTCATGAGTCACTGAAGCTTGCATTGTCTCTTTGGCCCCCTTATTGATCAAGGTTGATTTCAACCAGTTTCTTAACAACTCTTCATTCCACCCAGACAGCGAGGTGACACACGCATCTATGTCTCTTAGTCTGCCATGAGAGCAAACTTAATCCCTTTATCCCCGACTGGGTAGCAATGCAACACATAAGGGAACCTGAGGTACACATGGGATTAATAAAAAATTTTACAAAAATTCCCATTTTTGCTAAGCTGATCAGGCCCCAATTATTACCACAGGAATAAGCACATATTAGTGTTGTGTGGGAGTTGGATGCTGAGTTAGGTATTGTTCGAAAGTTTTTCACTAACAATTTCTGGTCACTTTGCTAAAGTATCAGTAAGTTTGATATCGTGTGGCTATGGGTAACAATGTTTGAATGAAATAATGGCTTTTTGAACACTAAAACGGTTATTGCTTGCTTAGGGTGTCTGGGGATTACATTCCGTGATTACACTCTTACGTCACTGTGACAAAGTGTTAATGTTTTCTCTGAATTCTGTGTGTGTCTCAGTTTCCCCTATGTATTACTCAAGTATCTAAGTGGTGGGATAAGGGTGTGTGATCATTGCACAGACCCCTAGAGGGCAGGTGTGACTGCTGACTGGCTGCCTGGGCACAGAGAATGGCCGACACTCTATCCTGGCAACTGGTGGCCAGAGCCAGCCAAAGGTGTTGGAGAACAAAGAGACCAGGTGACCTGTTTGCCTGGGAAAGAGACAAAGCATGGAGGTGGGGCTGCTGGAAGCCCATCAGTCTCCTGGAGCCCCCCAAGGTGGACTTTGCTGTAACTTCCTGCTTTCTGTGCTACCAAGATCTGTTCTATGCTGTGTTCCCGTTGACTAATAAACCCTTCCATTTTACAATGCTGGCTGAGAGTCACTCCAGACTGCAGAGTGGGGGTGGAGGGCCCTTTGGAGTGTATAAGGCTTCCCCAGGTGTCCCATCTAGGTGGACTCCCTTCAGAGAACTCACAGTGTGGAACGGGGTGCTGAATGCTCCGAGGTCAGACCCAGGAAGTGCTGAAGCCGAGGAGGCTTCTTGCCGGGCCCGGTGAGAGTGTGCCCTGAGAGGAGACGCAATGCACCAGAGTCCTGACTGACTTCATTCAGAGCTGTTCCAGAGCACCGAGACTGACTTCATGACAGTGGGGCATTTGCAAATGAAGTTATGAGCAGGGCTTCCTTGCCATGGAACTCCCTTCTCACCACAAAATACAGAGGTTTCTAACCCTCCTAATTAACAAAGGAAACCTTTGAAATGTGACCTAAATGTAACCAATGCAGTGCAGTCTGCCTGGGTCTGCAGACAGCCTGAAGGAATATCCATGTGAGGTGCAAATAGTCCCATTCATCTCAATGTGATGTTAACTCTAAAACCTAAAGATGCTAATTTAAATGTCAGCATGTTAGCTGTGTCACTGCTGGTCCTGTTATCAGGAACTTCCATCTAATGTGTTATTCCCACTATCTCAAACCCCTCCAATGCCTCACTAGGTGCTGAAAACTCCAGCTGTTCCCTATTCAGCTGCCAAATCTCTAATTCCACCCTTCCACTGGGAACATCCATGTTGCAATTATGCACTGAGTGCACAAAATCAAACAGCATATGCAAAGCTGAAAATGGGGATGGGCAAGGTAAAATATATGGAATTGAGTCTGACAGTAGATAACACAGGGGCTACTGTGCTCATTTTATTTTTCACTGTCATGTTGAATGAACCAGCTCTTTTTGAGAGCACAGGCAATGAAAGCTGGGAGGAGGGAGTCAGGTGCCTGAGGATCACTGAAGTCAGTGGGAGCTGGGCACCAAACTCCCTTCACCCCCTTTAAAAGCTCCAGCCTAAAAATAATGTTTTGCATTACAAACATTTTGTAGTGATTTTTTTAACAGCTCTAGTACCTCAGTGGGAAGAGGCCCTTCTACTTGGACATCCACATTGTAGAGATGCATTCTCAGTAGTGTACTGGTATTGTAATGCTTCTTTGTTAAGTCATTAAATAGCATGTTTCCTCCATAGATCTCAAAACTTCTCACAAGGGAAGGCGAGCATCATTATCCCCAGTGTAAAGGACGTGACTTGTCTGTGATCACACAGCAGATCGGTGGCTGAGCCAGGAGTAGAAACCTGATCTCCTGAGTCCCAGACCAGCATCCTAGACCATGCTACCTCCCAACTGCCTCTGCGGGTAGGTTCTCAAGTGGTGGGTCGCTGATCATTCCCAACTGTCACTGTGACCTGTTCACCGTATGTCTGACCTGCGTGGCTCTGAGCTCATTCTTTGTTCTATTTGTTTGTAAAATGTAGAATTGGGAAAGATGCACCACAACTTCTGCCTTCCCCACTCTAGCTGGCTAGTGCAGGATTGTTTCTTTTGATATGTTTTCTAGTTCTTTATCCAATCTTGTTTATGCTGTGTTAAGTTTATGCTGTCCACTTTCCTTCTAGACTATTCCACAGTCTAATAAATCTCAGCATTAGGAATTTTTTCCAGATAGCCAGCCTAAATTTTCCTGTTGTGAATATTGTCTCAGTAATCACAGTTTGCCCCTTGTCTCATCATTCCTCCACTTCCCCAGTTTTTAAACTCATCAAATACATAGAGATCACAGATCAGGTCAACACTTCAGGAAATTAGGGCCAGATTTACAAAGGTGCAGATAAGTGCCCAGGGCATTACAAACTCCCCTAATTGAGTTATGCACATCACTCCCACTGACCCTGCTGGCTTTTGTGAATCATACTAGGCACCTAACTGCCTTTTTAGGCATCTAAGTCCAGCATTTAGGCACCACTGGCATTGTTAAAGCCACTGTTCAGGTGCCACCAAACTTTGTAGGTACTTAAGTGCCCCACGGGCATGTGCAAAGCTGCCTAAGCACTGATGCTGCCTTACAGCTAATGAGCAGCTCAGAGCCCTAGCATGGGCCTAAACCCCAGCAGCCACAAAGCAGGGTTCTCAAATGAAGGGAAAATGCCTGTCTCACCAAGGAGACCCATGCTTTAGCTTTGCTCTGAGCATGCCTAACACCTGATATCTGCCAGACCCCACAGCAGGAGGGCCGGATACAGGCCACAGAGACCCACACAAGCACAGCACAGAACCCACACAAACACAGCTGGGGAGCAAGCAGGTTGGGAATTTTTCAGCTAAGCTTTTGGGAAAGGTCTGTGTGTGTTTGGGACACTCACTTTGAGCGGGGGAGACCTGGGTTCAAGTCCCTGATCAGAATCAGGCAGAGCAGGAATTTGAATCACACACATCCAAGGTGAGAGCCCTGACCTCTGGGCTATTGGTTATTCTGGGATCCCTCTCTGGTTTTCACAAATGGGGTGGGCTACCTAAGAGACTATCTGTCTTAAGTGTTGTCAGGGACCACGGGTCTCAAACCTGGTCCCCAGGACTCTGCAGAGCTAATAAGCACTAACCTACCACCCCATGGCCTGCTAACAGTTGTTAGGGCAGAAGCTGAACCCTGACAGAGGACTCCAGTCCTGGAACCTTTCTGGCAGAATCCTGTGTTTCCTGATTGGTCCACAGTGTCTATATAAACCCAACACAGGAACAGGACGTTGTCCATGCAACTGGGATCCACCCTGCTCCTGCTCCCCTGGCTTGACTTCCTGAAATCCCAGCTTTCTGGCATCTATCTGACTTGTGGTTCTGATCTCCAGTTTGTCTCCTACCTCTGATCCCCTGGTTTCCTGATTTATCGTGGCTCGAGTTATCGATTCAGGATTCTGCTCTCAAGTTTGTCTCCTGCTTCTGAATGCCCGGTTCCCTGACCCAGCCGACTCTTGACTGCCATCCCCTGACTGTGGACCCTGGCTCTGACCACTAGGTCTGGCTGCCTATGACCTGGCCATGACAGGTGTGTAGCTGCAGGAGAGGGTTCGTGGCTGAGGATCCCAAGTGGAGGGAGGTGCCTATCTTGGGTGCACCAGATCAGCAGCTTAGGCTACCTAAACTGTCTTCCTCTAAGCCCCTTCCCTTTCCTTTGCATTCCCTCTGTCTCTAGCTTAGGTGGTTTTCTGCTGAGGGCTTCTGAGCATCCCTTTCTTAAGAGCCCCATGCATTGTCTGGGGAGCCTGGGCACCTAGCTCGGGGCTGAGAATTCCACTGGGTGGCAAGGCACCTTTGTTGAATCTGGGCCTAAGTCCCTATGGGAAGAATTCTCCCCACCAGTCAAGCCCCTGTTTACTGTGCCAGCTGCATAAGTAGCCCTGGGACCCACTAGAGGGAATCATTGCACAGTCTGCCCTCAGATGCTATACAGATGTCCCTCTGCTCATCCTGGCATAGGGACCATGCCAAGGTCAGGGGCCAGAGGTGGGAGAGCAAGGGAAGGAGGAGATGTTCATGTAGTACATAATGCTGTGGGCATTCCTGGTGGTGCCACTGCCTATAGAGCTGTCCAGGGAGGCCGCCATAACATAACCCCCTCCAGCCCCAGTGCAGCTCAGCATCTAGGACACAAAGGTGGCTTAAAGACTCCTCATTTTGCCCCCAGGCTCTGAGTTCTGTTGTGCTGGGCTGCTATGAGATATAGCACAGACCCTCACCCTGAGTTCTTCTAATGGTTCCTCATAAACTCATGCTCCAACTCTGAATTCTGTCTGCTCTGCCAAGGCCCTTCTAGTATGAAATGTCCTGACCTGCACATGGCATTCCAGGTGTGGTCTCCCTAAAGTTTATTAAAATGGACTACTTATCTCCCTATCCCATGGTTCAGTGCACTTTATGCAGCCAACAATTTACATAAGAATACAGGAATGGCCCAACCAATTGTGTTGATGTTCTCTGACACTGTCACATTGCAAGATCATACCAACTTTATGGTCCACAACCTCCGCTCCACCAGGCCTCTCTCACTACTGCATCTTTGCAAGTGTCTCCCTCCCTTTACGTATGTGTGTACTGCATTTTTGCCCAAGATTTATTACATGCAGTTTTCTAGGGTCAGCCTAATTTTGTCATTTTCTTTTCATAGCTCTAGCCTTTCTAGATCCATTTGTATTATTTCTCAGTCCTAGACAATGTGTGAACATTTCACAGTTCACTATAATCAGTTTAGCAAAGACTTCAGCACACAGTTTCCAAGTGTGTTGGTTTACGACAGTCTTTTCGCACCCTGCACTCTTAACTACACACAAAACGCCTTACCACCTGCTATGCTCTGTGGATGTGCAATTGCTTCCCAGTTAAGACACACACCTGCAATGGGGTGGAGGTAACAGAAGTCTTATGCTGGTCAGAACTCCATCACTAGGGGTAGAGTCCTGCAGCTGTCATACCATCATATAGAACCTCCAAAAATACTTCCAAAGGCTCCCAGCAAAAAGAGGCAAGCTAAGATCTGATAATCAGAGGCAAGGTGGGATATTTCTAATGATAAAATTAGCAGAAAACATTAAACAATAAAGAAATTTAACACAATGCTGCATAAAATCTCTAAAAACAGATAGAAACCAAAACTGGGCAAAGGAGGAAAATAGGACAGACGAAATGGAAAAAGATTCTTTCCGTATTTCCCCCATCTCTTTGTGGTGCTGTGCTACAGGTTTCGAGGACAAACTCTTCAGGGCAACAGCCTATCTGCTTACATGGCTGTAAAGCCACAAGTGAACTCTTTTTAATTTAGAAACAGCATCAGGGACACCTTTAAACTTTAATCTTTCAGACTGAAAATAAGGCATAAATTACCCTCTATCAAAAATTGCCCATTGGAACAATTTACCAAGGGTTGTGGTGGATTCTCCATCCCTGGCAATTTTTAAAATTAAGATTGGATGTTTTAAAAAAAAACCTGCTCTGAGAATTACTTTGGGGAAGTTCTGTGGCCTGTGCTATACAGGGGCTCAGACTAGATGATCACTATGGTCCTTTCTGGCACTGGAATCTATGAATCTATTAACATAAAGCCGCAGTAAAGGGGAAAGCCAATCATTTTGTTTAGTGACTTCCCTTTATCTTGTGTTCTGTGAATTGTATAGCACTGAAGTTCGTTAATACTGGGGATGCTAAGGACCATCCCATCTCTCCCCCTCTGCTCCCCCTGGTATTACTGGGACGCATACCAAGGAGCATCTGAGCACCTGTCTGGAATGGTGGGATTGCAGGATGGAGTCTAGCTCTGGGTTCCCTATTGCTTAGGTGTCATGTTTGTCACATTCATTACTTATAGTGTTGTTCACAAAAAGTCATGGCCTTTGTCTTCCAAACCAGCCAGCTACTCTGGAAGTCTCTTTCCAGAATTTGTGTAAACTGGACTTGCTAAATTGAGTGGGGTAGATAATGGGATAGTGATCTGGGTTTTTGAATAATTTTTAACTAAAGTTAAATGATTCAAACTTGTACAGGGCCCACATAATTGTGGCCTGAACTGAATTTTAGATTCCCATGTATTATACTAATGTGTCTTCCTGTACCAGTTCAGAGCATATCTGTGGAGTGTTGAATAAAGATATTTCTAGATAATTGCAGCCCTATAAAAACCATGTAATTTAGGAATGTGTAACAGGATTTATTGGAAGCCACTGGTTTATTACATTTCTGTGTCTCTTCTATATGAATGTAGGTGTTTAATGATCTTCTTATGCTTTTTAAATGATTAATGACTGTTCTGTAACACTTTTCTAATGGGAAATACACTTAATAACAATTATTAAAAACCTGAGTGCCAAGACGCTTTTAGAATAAAAATAAAAAGATGACTCTCTTATTTTTGTACTGTAGCATACTGTAACATAGCTTTCCCCATAACAGCCACAAAGCCACAATTTTCTGCATAATAGCCAACCAGCCTTTCCCCAATGAGCGATGGGGTTATGGACAGAAGCAGGGAGTGGGAGGGAACGCTGAATCATTTAGCTCTTTGCCTGGCCTTGTTCTGGGGATGCTGAGATGAGCCTGTCAGGGATGCAGTGGTTAATCCTATTCCAGGATTTAGTTCTGTCTTTGTTAGTGTTGGAGATGCTGAGATGACCCTGTCGGGGCTACAGAGGACAATCCTAGATCTGGGTTTTTGTAGTATCGCTCTTAGAGCTGGGGATGAGATATAGATCATATCCAGAATTACTCTCTTCCCTCACTCCCAATGGAAGGAGGGGGATGTTGAGAATAGCCTGTATTGCTGAGGAGTGAGATGGATTTTAGCTCCAGGTTTTCCTTATGCCCCTGTAGCTGCACAGAAATAGCAGGATGCTGAGATTAACCCTGCAGTGATGCAGAAGGTATGTGCATTTTCAGCTCTGGTACTGATGCTGTTCTTGTAGTGAGGTCTCTGTGGCGCAATGGACGAGCGCGCTGGACTTCTAATCCAGAGGTTCCGGGTTCGAGTCCCGGCAGAGATGATCTCCAGGCAGGTGTCTTTTATTTTGCACTCACTCAGGTAAGGATGTAAGTTAATTATATTTACTTCACCCTAGAGGGTTTTAGAAGGAAAAGAATGACTTTGCCTGATAACTTCTGTACTGCTATCCCTCTCAGTACTCTCCTCTCTCATGTCTGTGCACAGGCCTCTGATTCAAATTTTTTTCCTCAGAGTATTTCCCATTGTTCTTTTTTACCCTTTTGTTTTCTCTTGCATGCTTTGATATTTTAGCCCCACCTGTTCTTTAAACACTGTAGCAATGTCTCGATGCAGAGATTGCTGCCTTTTGTTATCAGAAGATATTTTGACAAGAATACTGTGCTTTTTAAGAAGAAGTCAAAGGGACAGATTATTTTTTTTAGATCCCTTTGTTTTAATTGTTATTTCCCTAGATAAATCTGGTCTCTGCTTATTTCATATGCATGGCTGTATTTTAAAAGCTTGCTCTCTCTGCCTGATAATGAATTATAGCTCCTGACTACAGGCTTCCTATCCTGTTCTCACACTCTGTGCATTTTGATTTTTTCCTGCACATGAGGTTTCTGTGCTTGTTGGATTCCCTTTCCATGTTCTCATCATGTTTAACAATTTATAGAACAGAAAACTGCAGTTAGTACGACTGATTTCAGAGCTGCCAAGTTTTGTGATGCTCCATGTGTGACATTTTATGCAACTTAATTAATCAGCTAAATTGCATTTTTATGACTTCCCTTATGACCATGTTCAGTTACTGGCCAACCCAGCCTGGGGGCAGGATGTGGAGCTGCACAAAACTGCATCTGGGGTAAGTGTGTGGGGCTGGGTTGGGGAAGCTGGTGGCTGTTTCTGGCATGAGTGCTGGCCTGCTGGAAGTGGTGGGTGTTGGACCTGCTAGAGAAAGGGGTATTTGTTGGTTGCCTGTGGCTGCTGGAAGGCCTGGGGGTTGTTTTCTGGCTGATGAGGGGCTACTGGGGTGATTGGTGCTGGAGTGTGGGTGCTTGGAGCTGGGTGGAGATGGTGGAGTGCTGCTTGGACAATTGGGTGTCTACAGTTAAGGCAGGTGGGTGAGTGGAGTTGTGTGACTGACTGATCTCTGGGGTGGTGATGGGAGGAGTGGGGGGTGGCTGGGTGTTGGGGAGAAGTGTGGGGGTGGCCGGCTGGGTACTAGGATGGTGCGGTGAGGAGAGGGCGGGCATGTGTGGCTGGCTGGGGTATGACAGTTGGATGCTGTGTTGTATTACAGGAGTATTTTAGGGGCCCAACCAAGACTGGGGACTGTAAGCTGGTGAGGCCGTCCCCCCACATCGGGGAGGGGGTGGGGGACATGCCTCCTCACAATTTGGGTCTGCTACAGCCTTCTCTAAGCAGAACAAGAGCAGGGAAATTAGCAATTCACAAGGGGGCCATCCTTCAAGCAGGGTGGGCCGTACACAGTCTGGGCTCTGGCTGGTGACCTGGGCGGGCTACAACGGTTCATTCACCCAGCACTTAGGCAGGGCAGGGCTGCCAACAGTTAGGGCTCTGGCCTGCAATCAGGCAGACCTGTCCTACCAGCCCAGTGTAGGGGATCAGGCGCCACAGCCTCTGGGGCTCAGGTTTGGGGTGAGCACCACACTTAATCTATGGGGCTCAGGCAAGGGGTTTAGCGTCACACGCAGTCTATGGGGCTCAGGTTTGGGGTGAGCACCACACACAGTCTATGGAGCTCAGGCAAGGGGTTGAGCATCACACGCAGCCTGTGGGGCTCAGGTAAGCGGATGAGCGCCACACGCAGTCTATGGGGCTTAGGCAAGGGATTGAGCTAAGGAGCACAGGCCTCCTGGCCTACAGAGGGGGAGTACTGCCACCAGTGGGCCTGCCCAACTCCACTGCGTCCCAACCGAGGGCCCTATCAGTGGCAGAGCAGTCTGCCACTGGGTCAGCAGGGATCCACCTGCAACACACTGACCTAGTTTCAGGCTCGCTCCCTACCAAACTACTGCCTGGTTCCCCTGGGTTGCTTCCTTCTCTCCCCCTCAGGCGTTCCTGTGTCCAGGGGTCAGCCTGAGTCTCCTCTGGGTACACTGCCAAGGGTAGCGATAGCAGTTCCTCCGCATCAAGAGCATCAGGGCTCTCTGGAAGCTCAGTCTCCCCAGGGCAACAATGGTTCTCCTTGGTGCTCCACTCCAGCAGCGGGGAAGAAGCGTCTGTCTCCTCCAGCAGCTCCCCCATAACTGAGCTGCTGGGAAGGTCTTTTATACTTCCCCTTCCTATTCTGCCTCTCTGCTTCCAGTGTGCGGAGTGTGGCCCTCCTGGCTCTGCCCACCAGGCAGCTTGCGGTGCTCCCTCCACGTCCTCCTCTGAGTGGGGCCATGGCTCCTCTCTACACACACACACCCTTAAGCTCAGCTCCTGATCTCTGGATCTGCCTCACAGTCTGGAGTCCATCGTACCCTCAGGGGCTGGTCCTTCGTGAGCAGCCAAGTCAGCGGTGAGGCGATAGTAGCAAAGTCCGGGATGAAGTATCGGTAATAGCCCACAAGTCCTAGAAATTTCCGGACCTGCTTCCTAGTAGTCGGAGCTGGTTGGTCATGGATGGCCTCAACTTTCCCAACAAGGGAATGCAGCTTGCCTCATCCCAGGGTGTAGCCTAGATACGTTGTTTCCTGCCACCCAATTTGGCACCTTTTTAGGTTTGCAGTGTGACCAGCCTCCCGGAGAGTTATCAAGACAGCTTCCACCTGGTTTAGGTGGTCCTCCCAGTGACTACTGCAGATTACTATGTCATCCAGGTAAGCGGCTGCGTACTCAAGGTGAGGCAGGAGGAGACGATCCATCAACTTCTGGAATACCGAAGGGCATTCTGGTAAAATGATAGAGCCTGCTGTGGGTGGCGAAGGCAGTTTTCTCCTTTGATTCTGGTGTCAGCGGGATCTGCCAATATCACTTGATTAAATTCAGGGTGGTGATATACTGGGCCTTCACCATTCGGTCGAGTAATTCATCCACCCAGGGTATCAGGTAGGCATCGAAGCGGGATATCGCATTGACCCTCCTGAAGTCAATGCAAAAGTGACGGGTCCCATCTGGCTGGGGGATGAGGACAATCGGGCTCCTCAATTCACTAGAGGATTTCTCATTTACCCCGAGATCTAACATGGACTGGACCACCTGTTCCACGGCCTCTCGCATATGGTGGGGGAGTCGTTGGGTGGTTCCTCATACAACCTCTCCAAGACGGGTGGTGATGGAGTGGTAAATCTTGATGGTCTGTCCGGGCACAGGGTGAACATTCGAGGGAAGGCCTCAATGAGATGACTGCTTTGCTTCAACTGCTCATCCGAGAGGGTGTCCCACAGCAAGGGGTTCTTGGGCTCAGTTCCAACGAGCGTTTGCGATCCCAGTTCTGGTTTGGGGATGGGGGGGTCGGGAAATATGGATAATTCGTCCCGCTCACACAAGAGCTTTATCAGGTTCACATGATAAATCTGGGACTTTTTTTTCTGGTCTGGCTGACAAGAGCCTCGTAATTGACAGGGCCTCTCCAGCAGGTGACCTCGTATGTCCCCTGCCAGCAAGCCATCAGCTTCGACTTGGCTGAAGGGAGCAAGACAAGGACTCGGTCCCCCGGCTCGAAGATCCGCTCTCGCAAATGGCGATTGTACCCTTGTGCTTGGGCCTTTTGGGCGACTTGGAGGTTCTCCTAGGCAAGGATCCCAGCCTGGGCAAGGCGCTCCTGGAGCTTAAACACATACTGAAGCAACTCTTCAGCGTAGGACAGGGTCTGTTCCCATGTCTCCCACATGAGATCCATCAGGCCTTGAGGCTGGAGGCTGTATAGGAGCTCGAAAGGCGAAAATTTGGTGGATGCCTGTGGTAGCTCCCGAATAGCGAGCAGCCAGTGAGGGGTGAGCTGATCCCAATGGCGGAGCTCCTCAAGGGGAAATTTCCAAAGCATATTCTTTAGTGCCCGGTTAAACTGTTCCACCAACCCATCTGTTTGCAGGTGGTAGACGGAAGTCTGGAGCTTTTTGATCCCCAGAAGAGCACACACCTCCCAGAGGAGCCAGGAGGTAAAGTTCATCCCCTGATCGGAGAGTAATTCCTGGGGCAGGCCCCCTCAGGCAAAGATTTTGATAAGCTCTGCTGCTACAGTACGGGCTGTGGCACTTCTCAGCGGGATGGCCTCAGGAACCTGGGTGTCATAGTGCAGGACTACCAGGATATACTGGAATCCGGCAGCACTCTTAACCAGAGGCCCCAAGTCCACAGCTACCCTTACAAAAGGGATTCCCACCAGCAGGAGAGGGACCTCGCTCGCATTCCGGGCAGGAGGTGCAGTGGTCCTTAGTGTCACAGTGTACACCTGGCCAAAAGAAATGGGACAGAATCCGGGCCAGCGTCTTCTCCAGTCCGAGGTGGCTGGTCACCAGGACATCGAGCACCAGCCTTAACATGGCTCATCTATGGCATCGAGGGATCAGCAGCTGGGACCGGGGCTTGCAGGTCCTGGGGTCCAGCTCGATTCGGTACAGCCGATCCCGAGTGAGCTCAAACCAAGGCTACTGATTGGCACTCTGTGCATCTACCATGACCCCATCCATGCAGGACAGCTGCTCATAGGCATGCTTCAGTGTGGGGTCATCCCTTTGATCCTGGCAAAAGTCTGTTGCCATGTCTAGCCAGATATCTGCCCCGTTGGGAGGGATTGGTGTGCCATTGTCCCTGGCAGTCTGATCCTTTGGTGGACCGAGGCCCGGTTCCCCTAACTCCATCTCCATGTTGTCAGGGGTGTCCCCCTCTGTCATAAATATAAAGGGAAGGGTAAATGGCTTTAAAATCCTTCCTGGCCAGAGAAAAAAATCCTCTCACCTGTAAAGGGTTAAAAAGCTAAAGGTAACCTCGCTGGCACCTGACCAAAATGACCAATGAGGAGACAAGATACTTTCAAAAGCTGGGAAGAGGGAGAAAAACAAAGGGTCTGTGTCTGTCTGTGTGATGCTTTTGCCGGGGACAGAACAGGAATGGAGTCTTAGAACTTTTACAAAAAGAAAAGGAGTACTTGTGGCACCTTAGAGACTAACCAATTTATTTGAGCATGAGCTTTCGTGAGCTACAGCTCACTTCATCAGATGAATGAATCAGCTCACATCTGATGAAGTGAGCTGTAGCTCACGAAAGCTCATGCTCAAATAAATTGGTTAGTCTCTAAGGTGCCACAAGTACTCCTTTTCTTTTTGCGAATACAGACTAACACGGCTGTTCCTCTGAAACCTTAGAACTTTTAGTAAGTAATCCAGCTAGGTATGTTTTAGATTATGATTTCTTTAAATGGCTGAGAAAAGAACTGTGCTGAATAGAATGAATATTCCTGTCTGTATGTCTTTTTTGTAACTTAAGGTTTTGCCTAGAGGGATTCTCTATGTTTTGAATCTAATTACCCTGTCAGGTATCTACCATCCTGATTTTATAGAGGTGATTCCTTTACTTCTACTAAAAGTCTTCTTGTAAGAAAACTGAATGCTTTTTCATTGTTCTGAGATCCAAGGGTTTGGGTCTGTGGTCACCTATGCAAATTGGTGAGGATTTTTACCAAACCTTCCCCAGAAAGTGGGGTGCAAGGGTTGGGAGGATTTTGGGGGGAAAGATGTGTCCAAACTATGTTTCCCAGTAAACCCAGATAAAGTTTGGTGGTGGCAGTGGAAATCCAAGGGCAAAGGGTAAAATTAATTTGTACCTTGGGGAAGTTTTAACCTACGCTGGTAAAAGTGAGCTTAGGAGGTTTTCATGCAGGCCCCCACATCTGTACCCTAGAGTTCAGAGTGGGGAAGGAACCTTGACATCTTCGAAGTCACTTAGACCTGGTTCCTCAGTCTCCACCTCCATATCATCGGGGTTGTCCCCCTCGAGAACCGTCTGGGTGGGGGTTCCTTGGCAACTGACAGTTTGCATCACTTGGTGGAACCCAGGCCAGGGATAGGGTAGCACTGGAGCGACACCCATGTGCATTCCCCGTGTCAGTCTGACCACCATCAGTGTCACCTGGGCTGTGGGGTAGACCTCTTTGTTCCCATCGATGCAGCAAAGGCTAATCTGACCTCGTATCTGGTCAGGGGCTGGGATCAGCCACCAGCATACCAAAGTCTGTCCACACCCCAAGTCGACTCGGACTTCTAAGTGCCACTTGCCCAGGATCACCGGGATTGTCAGCTTGGGGCCAAGGTGCTGGCAAGCGCAGTTATCTCTGGTGCACATCTGGCCATAGGATCTGATCCTCACAGGCCATTAGTCTTGTAACGGCCCAAACTGGTTGTCATCACAAGGCAGCCCCAGCCTTGCAGTCAGCCCAGGACTGAAGGATGGTGCCACATGGCCAGGGCTTCCTGCTGCTAGGAAGTCCCTCATCAACTGTACCGCTGCAGCCAGAGTAGGGGGCTGGTGTCGCAGGACCCAGGTTTGGCCACGGGGTCCCAGTCTCTGCAGCAGTCACTGCTGCCGCTGGAGCAGAGCGACTTGTCTCTGCTGGTTCTCAGCCCACTGTCTCACCAGCTGGCCCCAATCCATGGTGGTCTGGCTGGCCCCAATCTGGGTTCTGGCTGGTGCCCCAGGCGGGCTGCAACGGTCTATTCACCCAGCCCTTAGAACCATTTTAGCACCAGACATTCAATAAAAAGGGGATTCTTTTTTCTTGCTCTGTCTCTGGTGGTCTGTGTCCTGTCTTTCCTTTCCCCTTGGTTTTCCAGTTTCTTGTGTCCCTGCTCCTCCATTCTCCTCTCTCCTATAATGTGTCCAAATTGGTCTCAATCTCCACCCATTCTTCCTGTTGTGTTAATTTGGATGGAATAAATGGGCCCAGAGAGTCAAAGGAATTAACGTGATCCCTGTGACTATACAACACTAGACAGTTAAACAAGACTCAGGTTTTAAGTAGAGAGACCTCAGCCTGCTTAGTCCCATGGAAAACACACTGTTAAAAATCTTTTTAGCCTTTTATTAAAAATACAGATAAAGAAAGAAAAACAGTTAAAGCCTTTGAAATGTCAAGTATTAAGTAAGGCTTTTATTTTAACAACATCCCCTTATTTCTCTTCCGTCTAGCTTTAGAGAGATTTTGGAAGCGAAAAGAAACCCCTGTCTGACAATCTCTTCGATGGTATTACAGTTAGTAATGGCCGTCCTTTTGGGGAGGAGAGAGAAATTATTTGAGATGGGCTGGAGCTGCTGCTATGGTTGTTAAAGTCCAATCCCATTTCCTAGATGACAAATCAAGACAAATGGACACAAGAGGGGAGAGCAAAGACCAACAAATAGAGAAAATGCAGCTTCTGTCTCTGGTGCTAATGCTAACTCTCACTTGCAGCCTTACTGTTGGAGAAACACAGGCCCAGTACATGATCTGTGTCAAGCTGTCCTATAGTGGCTGAAGAGGGTGAGTACCAACCTCGGCGCAGACTGTTAAGAATCAGGGCACAAACTTAAAATTGGTTGTGAGTTCTGTACTTATATTTCACCAATCAAGTATCAAGTGTGAACTCCTCAAGCACTATAACAGACAATCACCTTGGGTACTCCTCTCTATCTTACCACATAGGCAAGCTTGCCTTTGTGACAGATGGTCCTTTATACCAAAAATCACAACAGTATTCAGATTCCTCCCAGTCCCCAAGGACCAGTCACTTACCGCAGGTCAATTGCATCTTAGAGCTTACATCAAAGACAACACTTGTAGCCAATCCTATAATAAACTATCTAAAAATGTAGTCACCTTTGTCACCTTTGTCTGGCTTGTCCTTATCCGTCCCTCCGCGCACGCAAGTCGACGCCTCACCACTCCATTCTGTCGCAAGCACATTCTTCCCATTTCTGGCCAAAGAGTTTTGTCATGGGATCAGCCCAGCACGTTTTCGGTCTGCCCAGCAGTTGCTTGTGGTCTCTGGGGATCCAGTCATTGATGCGGGTTGTCCACCTATTGTCTTGCCTGCGGACTACATGACCCGCCTATCTTTGCTTTGTGTCTTACAGCGCCTTGCACTACATCAGTCACCTCTGTATGCCTTCTGATCTCCTCATTCGGTATGTGATCACGGAGCGATATCTTGCACATTCACCTTTCCATTGCTCTCTGGGTGATGGCAAATTTTTCTTCCTCCACTTTCATCGTTGACCAGCTTTCTGCTCCGTATATCATTGCTGGCAAAACAGTGGAGTTAAACAGTTCTTTCCTTTTCTTCTGTCCAATCACGCTCCTCTCACAAGTGTATAAAGTCTTCACCCACGTCATATTCAGTCGGATTAAGAAGAATCTTGAAATGTACAAAAGGCAAGAACAAGCTGGTTTCTGCTCAGGGTATTAGACAATTGATCACATCCACTCAGTTCGGCAGCTCATTGAAAAATGCAAGGAATACAAAGTACCGTTTTGTATTGCATTTGTCGACTACAAAAAGGCATTCAACCCAATAGAGGTTAACGCTGTACTCAGCACGCTCAATGAAATCAGAATTGACCCAAGGTACATTGACCTGTTGGAAGAAATTAACCACAATTGCTTGACAGAGATAACATTATTCAATGTTCCCTGCATTATTACTATACACAGAGGAGTCGGACAAGGCAACACAATCTCACCGAAGCTGTTTGCAGCAGTACTGCAGTTGCTGTTCAAGAAATTGAACTGGGAAGAAGGAATCAGAATTGATGGGGAACAGTTAACACATCTTCTCTTTGCTGACTGTGTAATACTGGCAAAGGACACAGCAGAACTGGAGAACAAATTGCAGCAACTGCAAACACTTTCACATGATATCAGGTTGGAAGTGAACACATCGAAGATGAAGTGGGTGCAGAATGAGCATTGTGCAGGAGGAATCATCACTGTAAACGAGAAAGAAATCTCAACAAATATATTTACCTGGGTCAGCAGCTGAGCAGAGACAACTTATTCGAAGGGGAATGAAGTAGGAGGCAAAAGGCGGAGTGGTCAGGTTTCAACAAAATAAAGATATCTCTAACAGATGATGAACTGCCCATTAAGAAAAGGAAAGATTTATTAACTAAGAAAAATAAGTGAGTTATTTACAAGGTTAAAGCAGGTAAACGTGTACACACACACACAAGAGTTACAGTTTTAGGTTCCAAAAGGAGGTAGAAGCTTCTATAACGGACAAGCTCTGTATGTCCTTTAGGGCTAGCCCAGGCCAAGCACAAGGGAACTTTTGCTTATGCTTAATAATCCTTGCTCCTCAAAGTCAAAGCAGCAAAAAGATAGTTTCTTTTTGTCCGAGGTTTTTATTACCTTCCCCCAGAGTTCAAGCTGATGGGATGAGTTCACGTGCACATCTCCTCTTTTGGGGTGGGGGGCAGGCTGGGGGGGGGAAGCAAAGACTTTTGTCCTCTGACATTCCACAATGGTTCATCTGGTGTTGATGGGCCTTCTGTTGTTGGGCAGGAGATAACACCTCCTGTGGCAAACTAGTATTTCACACTTGGTAATGCATCTCTCTTGACTGATGGTTTACAGTTTCAGAGCAAACACTGTTACAGTTACAGAGTAAACATTTAAATATTACCTTATGCCATAGGATACAGATATTAAATGTGAGGTTACTGCATGCAGTAACTTACAAGCATTTCATGAAGTCTAAATACATTTTTATAACTCTATTTTAACAATACTAGCACCCAAGTGAGCTTGGCTGGTTTTCAGCTTTGCTTTTGTTAGTGTTCACTTGAAGCCTTGGGGCCTTGGCATGAACTGGCACCTGCTCTGCCAGTGTCACAGTCTGATCAGCCACTCTGACACCTGGAAAACTTGTACCAGCATCCGGCTGATTCAGACATTGCTCTTTTAGCTGCCCTCTCTGACCATGGACTCACAGAAGTGTTGTGAAAGAGAGAGACAGGCTTGGTTGACTAAGCCAGACTCTTGTTTGACAGAAGGCAAGAGATAAAAAAGAGAACTAAGATGGTGATGGAGAATGACACATGAAGGAGGGCGTGACAGCAAGAATCAAAGTCTCACCTCCCAGGTGTTGTTCAGAATTTAGCTGGAGCTGGTGGAGTTCATGGTGTCACCTGAGTTCCTCTCTCTGGCCCAGTCTGGTCAAGGCATCTCTCAGGATCAGGACAGTAAAGATGCCCATCTGTCTCCGAGCCTAGCTTGATTCTCCCCCCGTACAAAGTCTTTTTTTTAGGACCCCAAAAGGGCAGTGATGGGTGGAATAATCCATTCCATTACTTTGTCCACCAATTTGTCCTAATTTGCAACCCAGTAATTTTGATTCATTGATTTCTGGGTCCACACTTCCTTTGTTTACCAAACATGATCTCAACACAATCCTTGAGTTCTATCAATAGACTTTTGCCTGGGCTAACCCAGCCTTTCTGTCTCCCCTTCCTATCTTTTTCCACCAACATTTATTGCTATAGGTAGTGGGAACATTTTATAAACTTGTATGCACTTTACCACAGTTAAACTCACAAATGGGGTAAGCCTGTGTAACAGAATATATACCTGTGTTCACACCCTACATGCTATTGTAATAATTCTTGTACAGGGCTGTAACCGTGCCTCAGTGGGTCACAACTGAGGATGCCAAATTCAGCACGAACTGCTGAGAAATAGGGCAGCTACACCCCAAAACTGGTGGCTAATCTCCTATAGGATATACCAAACCAGCAACAAAAGTAAACTTCTGTTTCACCATACTGGCTAACAAGAAAACATAAAGGCAGTTTCCTCAGGCATTCCAGTTCTTATATCACCACCAAAAATACTGGATTCAGAGATGAATGCTTCTTTACAACCAGTCTCATCAAATAATAGGTTGTTCTGATCCCAAAGGACCAGCCACACACCCAGGTCAATATATAACTTAGATCTTACCCAAATATCACACTGATGCCAATCCTTTAGTATCTAAAATCTAAAGGTTTATAGAAAGAAAGAAAGGTGAGAGTTAAAATTGGTTAAAGGGATCAAATACATACAGTAATTGCAACGTTCTTGGTTCAGGCTTGTAGCAGTGATGGAATAAACTGCTGGCTTAAGTCAAGTCTCTGGAGTACATCCACAGCTTGGATGGTCATTCAGTCCTCTGTTCAGAGCTTCAGTTTGTAGCAAAGTTCCTCCAGAGGTAAAAAGCAGGATTGAAGACAAAATGGAGGTATTTCCAGGGCCTTTTATAGCTTTTGCCATGTGAAGGGCAACCCATTGTTCTTACTGTGGAAAATTACAGCAACAAGATGGAGTTTGGAATCACATGGGCAAGTCACATGTTCATGCCCAATTTCCCTCAGTCATTGCAGGAAGCCATTACCTACTCTCCAGACAGCACGTTTACATCAAAGTCCACTCAGTGTAGATGGGTGTCTGCCATGGTCCATTGTCAACCAAGTGTTTCTTGATGAGCCACTTAATTTGAATAGTCCCTCCAAGATGTGCTGGCTAGCTACCTTGTGGGTGGTACCCCAGGAGCCAACATTTGAAATCCAGTATAGAGCCAGTATTTATAACTTCAAATACAAAAATGATACGTGCATACAGATAGCATAATCGTAACCAGCAAATCATAACCTTTTCATAGACACCTCACTTGACAACCTTTCTACAAGATTTGCTGCAAATATATAACAGTGGTTGCAACAATGCTCTATATGGTCATATTGTAATCAGATAATGTCACAAAGGCATGTTTTGTAAGGGGTCATTTGAAAACTCATAATTTTCTGGTCAGAATTGCCCTGGTAAAATATGTCTGACAACATTGTATGTGAAGTTATAAGACTCCCCTGAATGGTGTTATGAACACATGTTCCAAAACCTACAGCTCTGCCCAAACAGAAGCTGGCAAACAGGTCTGTCCTAGACAAAGGAATGTGTGCTTGCCTTAATTTGCATTTGAGCAGTAAACAAAGTCATCAAGCTTGAAGGGAAGATAAAGGAAGTTCAAACAGGTGGAAACACCAGCAGGGAACATGCTTCCACATCAACTCAGTCTCCCGGGTCTCAGCTGGAAATGTTTCTCAAGAGGGGAACTGAAACTACAAAAAAGAGGGACAAACACTCCAAGGCACACCTCTCTCTCTCCCTGCCCATCTCATTCACTGCACTTGAAGATGTTGGGGACACTGGGGCATGGCCACTAGGTAACTCGAGGGGATGGAAGACCACGAGTGTCGATGAAGCCCCCTTGCACTAGGCCCAGGTGTCCTTCCCCTCCTCCCCCCCCCCCCCCGCCTGGAGGCACTTGCAGCAGCTCTGCATACTAGGCCCAAGTGTCCTTGGACCCCCCGCCTGGAGGCACTCACAGCAGTTATGCTGAGGATCTGCAACAATATGTTGCAGAGTCAGACTGCCTGAAACTAAGCAAGGCCAAACAGGGCAGATATGGAAGAACAATGCTGAATAAAGCAGCTTTATGTATGGTTTAACAAATGATACAGAGAACAAGGGAACTAGCTGGGAACTGGATTGGCTGGCTGTATGGATACTTAGGGCAGCTTGCTATTGGATAAGTATGCTGGAGAAAAGGATGTATAAAAGCCTGTGTAACTTCCTGCTCTGTGTGCAGGATTTGAGATTCTATTCTCCCTGTACCTTTTTGCAGCTGCAAATAAACTTTTCTGCTTCTCCACCCCGTTGTGATTATTGGGTGTAGCACACCGGGTAGCAAACCAACCTCAGCTGTTGTTTAGCCTCTCGGCACTGGGTGCCAGCAACAGCTTTTGGCGTCCCTGGGTGGGCCACGAGGCTGCAATTTAGCCTTGCCGGGACCCCTCCTGGAGGTCAAGGATTGCGGCGAGAACTGACGCCCGGCACGCACTGGTGAGTTCATCGGGGGCCTCGGAGGAGATGCGATTTGATCGACCCCGGAGGGCACAATGGTGCAACGCACTCATATAGTGGAGAAGCAGTTGTGGACGACGGTGAGGAACCGGTCCCTTAGACATAGGGGTGGAGCAGCTGCGGACGACGGTGAGGAACCGGTTCCTTGGATAAGGTAGGAACCTTTTGAAATCCGGATTGTATGCTCTGTTGGAACCTGGGGACGCCCAGAGTTACCCTGTAAGTATGGGACAGGGACAGAGCTCGGGGGTTAGGGCACGGTGTACGCCCCTAGAATGCATTCTAGGAAACTGGAAGGTATTTGGTGCGGATCCGATGACTAAGAGCCAATTAAAACGATTCTGTACAGTTGACTGACCTCAATATCAACTAGAGGACCAGGAGTGGTGGCCACCAGGAGGGTCAATTAATTACAACATGATCCTCCAATTAATTTTGTTTTGTCAGTGAATGGGTAAATGGAATGAATATTTGTATGCACAAGTGTTTATGGCTTTAAGAAATAGAATAGAGCTGTAATTCTGCAGAGTTGTAATTTGACTCCGACTGGTTCGGTAGTAGCTAATGTTAGTCCCCAGACCCCCACCCCCACTGTAATGGCAGAGCCGGTGTCCCCTTCGGCCCCCACAGTGGGACTCTTATAAGGGTAGGATGCCTCAGGTTACAGAGATTGCCCCCTTGGTGGGACTCTATCCTTTGCTTCCCGAGACTGTTGTGGCTTGCCCAGGGGCAGAGGGACGTCAGGCTACCACTATGCAAGTTTACACCCATGTGCCATTCAATCCAATAAACTTAGCAGCTTTTAAAACACAGGCTGGGGAATTCTCCATGAACCCAAGCAGGTTTATTTCAGTCTTTGAGGGGTGCCTCAGTAGTCACAAGCCGGACTGAGACAACTGTAATATCCTCCTGAGAACTCTGTTGTCTGAGGTAGAGGGATCAGGTTACACCTAAGGCAAAGGGAGCGTCAGCTTTCAAGCAAAAGAAAGGAAGCTATCTGTCAAGTTCCTACCCCAAGTAACCGTAAGCGGCTCAGGGCATTTCTGGGTATGGCAGGCTTTTGCAGAATATGGATCCCAGAGTTTGGACTGTGGGCTAAACCCCTTTACGACTGTGTAAAAGGAGCGGATCATGACCCCTTCTATTGGACCTCAGAGGCTGACAGGGCATTTAAAATCTTGAAAAGGAAGTTGATGGAAGCCCCGGCACTGGGCCTGCCGGATCTCTCTAAGCCGTTTCAGTTGTATGTACATGAACGAAAGGGGGTGGCCCTAGGAGTGCTCACACAGCTGTTAGGAGCGTGGAGACGTCCCATGGCTTATTTTTCTAAGCAACTGGATCAGGTTGCAAAGGGTTGGCCGGCATGTTTACGGGCGGTTGCAGCTACTGCCCTAGTGCTTGAGGAAGCCGAGAAGCTAACTTTGGGAGGGGTTATGCAAATCTATACTCCCCATATGGTCCGAGCTTTATTGGATGCAAACGGAGGGCTTTGGCTCACCCAGGATCGGATTGCTCGGTACCAGGCTAAGCTGTTAGAGAACTCTGAAGTCACCTTACAGCCTTGCCCCTCCCTTAACCCAGCCACTCTCTTGCCAGAAACAGAGGAACAAAAACATGACTGTTTAGAGATCATAGATGCCCAGTACTCCAGCCATCCGGATTTAAAGGATGTACCCCTCCCAAATGCAGATTATGAGTGGTACACTGATGGTAGCAGTACTGTAATAGATGGGCAGAGGAGGGCGGGCTATGCTGTTGTGACCCTCCATGACACTGTGGAAGCTGAAGGTTTGCCTCCTGGGACCTCTGCCCAGCTTGCTGAACTAAGAGCCCTGACCCGTGCACTTGAACTGTCAAAAGGAAAGCGGATCAACATTTTTACTGATTCAAAGTATGCTTTTGGTGTGCTACATGCTCATGCTGGCCTATGGAAGCAAAGGGAAATGCTGACAGCCCAAGGCTCCCCAGTCAAGTATGGGTCCCAAATCCTCCAGCTCCTAGAAGCCGTACAACTTCCCTTGGAAGTGGCGGTGGTACACTGTAAAGCCCATCAAAGGGAAGATCAAGATGTGCCCAGAAGTAATGGTAGGGCAGATAGAGAGGCTAAGCATGCTGCCACCCTGCCATCCCCTCAGATTGAGAACGCCCATATGCATGCCCTTATCCCATCAGTAGGGGAGCTTCCAACCCCTCAGTACTCTGGGGAGGAGAGATAGCTAACTGACAAACTCGGTCTCCGGGAAAAGGAGAGATGGCTCCATTCCCCGGAAGGGAAAGTCCTCTTACCAAAGGGCCTGATCTGGCCGGTGCTACAGAAACTACATCAAACCATTCATGCTGGCAGGGAAGCACTTATCCAGCTAATGGGAAAATACTTTATCACTTCTGGACTCCGACCCCTGGCTGCCCAGGTACAAGCAGACTGCTTAGTCTGCCTAAAGAATAACCCCCGACCGGAACATCCTGTGCCACCAGCTGCCCTAGAACCCACTCCGGGCCCCAGACAAGTGTGGCAAATAGACTTTACTGAGTTTCCCCGGACCCAAGGGTTCAAATATCTCCTTGTCATAGTGGATCGGTTCAGCAGATGGCCAGAAGCCTTCCTATGCCGTAATTGCACTGCCAGAACAGTGGCCCTCAAGTTTGTTAAGGAGATCATTCCTCACTTTGGACTCCCCCGTGGATGGAATCTGACAACGGGATACACTTCATGTCAAAAATCATTCAAAGCATCTCACATGCCTTACAGATCCCCTGGAAACTCCATACGCCCTGGAGATCGCAAGCCAGTGGGGTAGTGGAGCGTACCAATCAGACCCTTAAACGGCATCTCTCAAAAGTGTGCCAAGAAGCCTCACTGTGATGGCCTGATGCTTTGCCCCTCGTCCTACTCCGTATCCGCGTTCTCCCTAAGGGTAGATTAGGGCTTAGTCCCTTTGAAATTATGTTTGGAAGGGCATGGCCTATGAATGGCACCCCGGTTCTGTCAGGGGAATGGGAGCTGGGTAATGGTTTTTTGTCACAGTATATGTGTTCCTTGTCTGCTGTTCTCTTGTCTCTTCACAGGGGTATACCAAGGATTCCCAGCCTCTCCCCTTGGACTCTCCCATCCACTCCTTACAGCTCGATGACTCTGTGCTTGTTCGTACCTGGAAAGACGAACCTCTCCAGGAAAAGTGGAAAGGACCCTATACCGTCCTGCTGGTCTCCCGTACAGCAGCAAAGATCGAGGGACACAAGAACTGGATCCATCACTCTCATCTGAAGGCAGTACCCGCCCCCTCGTCAGCAGAACAGTGGACCATCCAACCTGCTGACTCCTCATCTAGTGACGATCTCGGGCTAACGCTACTGTTTAAAAGACACAAATAGTGGGCATCTTAACACTAAAATGGGCCCACCCAGATACTGGAGACCCTGGGTTGGAAAGACTCTGGTGATAATTAATTGGGTAACATTGTTATTCTCTGTATTGGTATTTCCAAACTGTGCATATCGGGAGCATAACTCCTTTGTTTCGCTTGCGCACCATGTTTCTACTTTAACAAACCAGATTGATTGCTGGGTATGTGCTCCAACTCCACTGTCCCCCAAAACAGGAATGCCCCTTGACATGCTGCCCTTGACCCTAGCAGAATTAGCCGCCACCAAAGAGCAGGAAAGAATGGACTCGCCGTTCTGGAATAAGACCTCTTTACAGCAAGCCACCTATCAGGACCAGGAGTATTCAGTTGCAGTACTCACTGAGGGAATGTTATGTTTTACCTGAAACCAATCTGATTACTATGGGCGTCCTGTGGGAAAAAGCTCCTGTGTTATTACACAGTGGGCTGATGGGTATTGGATAAAGACCAAAAGGGAAGGCCACCAGTGTGGGTGTCATGGTTCCTCCCCTTTTAGGGAAACTCTTACAAATAATCTTGCCACAAAAGAAAGGGTTTGGAAATATAACTTGCCTTCTAGTTAATATCTCCAACATAGCAAGCCAATGGTGGGTTTGTAGTGGTCCCTATGGCGAGTGTAATTTGAACGGCACAATTAGAAATGCCCCCACTTGTACCCAATCAGGAGGATGAGATGCCCCCTTAGGGGCATATGAACTGTTTGGAAAAGCAGCCAAAGCAGCCTTAAATATCCCAGGAATCCCCTTAAGAAACAGTCCTTACTGGGCCCTACAGGGTCACTATTTTGTATGTGGCCGAAAGGCTTACAAGGTGCTGCCAGCCAACTGGACAGGTAGCTGTTATATCGCTCATGGAGTTCCTCATCTGTCAATAACTGCCACATGCCCAAAGGAAAGATTAGAAATGCCCGAGACACCTCTGTTGGGTCACGAGAAAAGACCCTGCGGCGACTGACTACGGCATTGGAGGGCAATATGAAGAATTCCCTCACAACCGAGAAGCTTGTAGGGTGCTCTGTACTGGGAATAGCGCCACTGTTTACCGGGCCAGCCATAGCATGCATAGGCCGCTATACTGTAAGGCTGCAAATGGTACTTGAGAAAGTGGCCTTAGAGTTAGAGGACTCGGTTAGTGATTTAGGATCAGCAGTAAAAACATTAAATAAAGAGGTACAGCAGCTCAGGACGTTTTCCCTCCAAAACAGGCTGGTTTTGGACTATCTCTTGGCATCCCAAGGAGGGGTTTGTGCCCTCGTCGGGCCCTGAAGTTGTGTATATGTAAATGGTAGCAGTTATGAAATCTATGAAAAGGTGGTACAGGCTGAGGCCCATGCCCGAACCGGAGCACAGGTTGCCTATACTGCCCCAGAGAGCGATTGGTTGCAAACCTTGTTTTCAGGCTGGGGTTTGTCGTCTTGGCTTGGTGGTTTATTTAGCCTGTTATTGAAACTTCTCTTTCCTGTATTGCTTGTATTAATGGTATTATGCTGTGCAGTATCATGTGTCAGGGCCATTTTGCAAAAGTTAATAAGTCATTCTCTTCAGGGCTATCACAAAGTGCTTATGCAAAGTCCTATTGTAAAGAAATAAGTAGCCCAAGTGAGAAAACTCAGAGCCAAGGCTGTTGAGTGTTCTCAAAGGAGGGAGTTGTTGGGGACACTGGGGCATGGCCACTAGGTAACTTGAGGGGATGGAAGACCACGAGTGTCGATGAAGCCCTCTCGCACTAGGCCCAGGTGTCCTTCCCTTCCCCCCCCGCCCCCGCCTGGAGGCACTCGCAGCAGCTCTGCGTACTAGGCCCAAGTGTCCTTGGCCCCCCCGCCTGGAGGCACTCACAGAAGTTATGCTGAGGATTTGCAACAATATATTGCAGAGTCAGACTGCCTGAAACTAAGCAAGGCCAAACAGGGCAGATATGGAAGAACAATGCTGAATAAATCAGCTTTATGTATGGTTTAACAAATGATACAGAGAACAAGGGAACTAGCTGGGAACTGGATTGGCTGGCTATATGGATACTTAGGGCAGCTTGCTATTGGATAAGTATGCTGGAGAAAAGGATGTATAAAAGCCTGTGTAACTTCCTGCTCTGTGTGCAGGATTTGAGATTCTATTCTCCCTGTACCTTTTTGCAGCTGCAAATAAACTTTTCTGTTTCTCCACCCTGTTGTGATTATTGGGTGTAGCACACTGGGTAGCGAACCAACCTCAGCTGTTGTTTAGCCTCTCGGCACTGGGTGCCGGCAACAAAGAGACAAAGGAAGCAGTCGTTGAACTCTGGGAGAAGGCCCTGACATGAGAGTGTGTAATCAGCTGAAAGCATGTGATGAGAAACTTTGCTTGAATCTGATATCGTTTATTAAGTTAGGCATTAGTAAGAATTTTATCTTTAATTTTCTTGTAATCATTTCTGACATTTATGCCTCGTTATTTGTACTCAAAATCTCTCTCGTTATAGTTAATACACGTATTTTACTGTTTTATCTAATCTAGTGTGTTTAAATTAAAGTGTCTGGATACCTATCCGAGATAATAAGCTGACATATTGTTCCCTTAAAGGAATAAGATTCAGTATATTTGCACTGTGCAGGAGAGGGCTAGGCAGTGCAGGACGTACATTTCTGGGGGGAAATCTGAGGCTGGGGTATGTTGGGGTCACTCTGTAGTATAACCAAGGCTGGTGAGAGCCAATGTGTAACCTGAATGCAGCTGGCAGGCTGCAGTTACACACAGACAATCAGGGTGTGGCTTGCATGCTGGAAGGCTGTGAGCAGCCCAGACAGAAGCTACTTCAACAAGGCATCGTACAGCATCCACGGTTGCAGGGCAGGGGTGACACAGCTGCTCATTGGTCTCGATTGTACCCTGGTATGTCACAACCTTTCAGGCCCCAGTTACTTCAACATTCCCCACTCACTACCATCTGGACCTGTAGTCACTCTGAATTGACTGGGAGCCAAGGTGGGGGAGCTGACAGAGCCTTTTAGTTGCCCCTGGGATCTTTCTCTCTTACAGTGAAGGGTAAACTGTGTGGAGGGGACACTTTCTCCTGTGGGAGTCTCCTCTCCCCTTGGAGCTAGTAGGAAGGGATGTCCTGTGGGAAGGGAGAGCCAGTGAGGGAATAGATCATCATGTAAGTAGCAGTTAGGGGACAGTTTTGCGGCTGCTCAGCCTACAGAAGAGCCCAGGCAGTTCCCCAGCAAGGCACCAGCACCCTCACTGATGGCACTCCAGTTACCACTCAGTGAGCAGGTAGGACAGACTGTTCACAGTGAGGGGAGAAGAGAAGTTGTTGTTTGTGTAAAGTATTTTCCCCTTTGCTTTTAGCACAGAAAACAGGAATTGTACCGTAGACTGAACACTTCATCATGACAGGGGAGCAGAGCCTGTCACAGAGGAACAACCGTCCCGTCTTTGAAATCCCTCTGTCAAGCCTTCCACTGCCATGCTATGGGAAGGCACGTCCATCTGGCGGGGGGAGGCAAGTGATGAGCTGGGTCCTCTGCTCTTCTGCCAAACTCTCATCATTTTGTTACCTTGGCCTCCCATCCTCCCTCCCTCTGTTTGTCTGCTTTGTCCACCCGTTTGACACTCAGACTGTGAGCTCCTGAGGGCTACTTGCCTGTATGGTGCCCAGCATAATGGGGCTTTGGCTTCCTGGGTGCTGCTGGCATATTGTGAAAAGTATTTTATAAATAGGGCTTCTGTTCCTTGGAGTTTATGAATTTCATTTTTGGGGTTTACTTTTAGCAATGTTTGAGTTCAATGTAGATGTCCAAAAATCAGGGCTTTTAGTGGCTTTCTTTCTCTTTGTATATACATGTAGCACCATTTCAAGCAGCACTACATTGAAGCATACTGGGGAACCAGATACACAGACCAATTCATGGGCAACACAGTTAAAACTGCATTTAAGAAATCACACCCTGTAGTCCACATTACTGCTCCTTGTAGACAAGCTCTTAAGTACAAGCCAGGGACTAGGGACATGGCCTATATAAACCAACTGCAGAAGGAAAGGAGCGTAGTCAGCATGAACTAAGTGAACATTTCTAGTGTTTTTTAGTGTTTAATGGATAAACATAAATTTATTTACTTTTACTGGGGTTGTTTTATCAGTGTTTATTGGTTAAAACTAGGGCTGTCAAGCGATTACAAAAATTAATCATGATTAATCGCAGAACTAAAAAAATTAATCTTGATTAATCGCGTGATTAATCAGGCTGTTAAACAATAATAGAATACCATTTATTTAAATATTTTTGGGCGTTTTCTACATTTTCAAATATATTAATTTCCATTACAACACAGAATACAAAGTATCCAGTGCTCACTTTATATTTATTTTTGGTTTCAAATATTTGCACTGTAAAAAAGAAAAGAAATAGTATTTTTCAATTCACCTAATACAAGTACTGTAGTGCAATCTCTTTATCATGAAAGTTGAATTTACAAATGTATGATTATGTATGCTTCTTGTTCTGTCACCTGCCACCACTGAGAACAGCCTAGCTCCATCCTCTTTGGAACCCCCCCTTCAGGTAGTTGAAGGCTGCTATACAAATCCCTGCTCACTCTTCTCTTCTGCAGACTAAACAAGCCCAGTTCCTTCAGCCTCTCCTCTTAAGTCATGTGCCCCAGCCCCCAATCATTTTCGTTCCCCTCCGCTGGACTCTCCAATTTGTTCACATCCCTTCTGTAGTGGGGGGACCAAAACTGGACACAATACTCCACGTGTGGCCTCACAAGTGTCGAATAGAGGGGAATAATCACTTCCCTTGATCTGCTGGCAATGCTCCTACTAATGCAGCCCAATATGCCGTTGGCCTTCCTGGCAATGAGGGCACACTGCTGACTCATATCCAGCTTCTCGTCCACTGTAGTGTCATCTGCAAACTTGCAAGAATACTGTGGGATACCATATCAAAAGCTTTGCTAAAGTCAAGATATACATCCATCACTTTCCCCATATCCACAGAGTCAGTTATCTGCCTGCTTCTTGTTTACAGTGTAACCTGAAAGTGAGAACAGGCACTGTTCATGGCACTGTTGTAGCCGGCATCACAAGATATTTACCTGCTAGATGCACTAAAGATTCATATGTCCCTTCATGCTTCAACCACCATTCCAGAGGACAAGCGTCCTTGCTGATGACGAGTTCTGCTCGATAACAATCCAAAGCAGAGCAGACCGACATATGTTCATTTTCATCATCTGAGTCATATGCCACCAGCAGAAGGTTAATTTTATTTTTTGGTGATACAGGTTCTGTAGTTTCTGCATCTGAGTGTTGCTCTTTTAAGACTTCTGAAAGGATGATCCACAACTCTCAGATTTTGGAAGGCACTTCAGATTCTTAAACCTTGAGTCGAGTGCTGTAGCTATTTGTAGAAATCTCACATTGGTACCTTCTTTGCATTTTGTGAAATTTGCTGTGAAAGTGTTCTTAAAACAAACATGTGCTGGGTCATCATCCGAGACTGCTATAACATGAAATATATGGCAGAATGTGGGTAAAACAGAACAGGAGACATACAATTCTCTCCCAAGGAGTTCAGTCACAAATTTAATTAACACTTTTTTTAACGAGCATCATCAACATGGAAGCATGTCTTCTGGAATGGTGGCCAAAACATGAAGGGGCATAGAATCATAGAATCATAGAATATCAGGGTTGGAAGGGACCTCAGGAGGTCATCTAGTCCAACCCCCTGCTCAAAGCAGGACCAATCCCCAATTAAATCATCCCAGCCAGGGCTTTGTCAAGCCTTACCTTAAAAACTTCTAAGGAAGGAGATTCCACCACCTCCCTAGGTAACGCATTCCAGTGTTTCACCACCCTCCTAGTGAAAAAGTTTTTCCTAATATCCAACCTAAACCTCCCCCACTGCAACTTGAGACCATTACTCCTTGTCCTGTCCTCTTCTACCACTGAGAATAGTCTAGAACCATCCTCTTTGGAACCACCTCTCAGGTAGTTGAAAGCAGCTATCAAATCCCCCCTCATTCTTCTCTTCCACAGACTAAACAATCCCAGTTCCCTCAGCCTCTCCTCATAACTCATGTGTTCCAGACCCGTAATAATATTTGTTGCCATCAAAGTAACATGTAGCAATGACATCACAGTACTCCACATGAGGCCACACCAATGTCGAATAGAGGGGAATGATCACGTCCCTCGATCTGCTGGCTATGCCCCTACTTATACATCCCAAAATGCCATTGGCCTTCTTGGCAACAAGGGCACACTGCTGACTCATATCCAGCTTCTCGTCCACTGTCACCCCTAGGTCCTTTTCCGCAGAACTGCTGCCTAGCCATTCGGTCCCTAGTCTGTAGCGGTGCATTGGATTCTTCCGTCCTAAGTGCAGGACCCTGCACTTATCCTTGTTGAACCTCATCAGATTTCTTTTGGCCCAATCCTCCAATTTGTCTAGGTCCCTCTGTATCCTATCCCTACCTGCCACCATATCAACCACTCCTCCTAGTTTAGTATCATCCGCAAATTTGCTGAGAGTGCAATCCACACCATCCTCCAGATCATTTATGAAGATATTGAACAAAACCGGCCCCAGGACCGACCCTTGGGGCACTCCACTTGATACCGGCTGCCATCTAGACATGGAGCCATTGATCACTACCTGTTGAGCCTGACAATCTAGCCAACTTTCTACCCACCTTATAGTGCATTCATCCACCCATACTTCTTTAACTTGCTGACAAGAATGCTGTGGGAGACCGTGTCAAAAGCTTTGCTAAAGTCAAGAAACAATACATCCACTGCTTTTCCTTCATCCACAGAACCAGTAATCTCATCATAGAAGGCGATTAGATTAGTCAGGCATGACCTTCCCTTGGTGAATCCATGCTGACTGTTCCTGATCACTTTCCTCTCGTGTAAGTGCTTCAGGATTGATTCCTTGAGGACCTGCTCCATGATTTTTCCGGGGACTGAGGTGAGGCTGACTGGCCTGTAGTTCCCAGGATCCTCCTTCTTCCCTTTTTTAAAGATGGGCACTACATTAGCCTTTTTCCAGTCGTCCGGGACCTCCCCCAATCGCCATGAGTTTTCAAAGAAAATGGCCAATGGCTCTGCAATCACAGCCGCCAACTCCTTTAGCACTCTCGGATGCAACACATCTGGCCCCATGGACTTGTGCAC